ATTATTATTATTATTATCATCATCATCATCATCATCATCATCATTATCATTATTATTATTATTATTATTATTATTATTATTATTATTATTATTCTTGTTGTTGTTGTTGTTGTTGTTGTTGTTGTTATTATCAAGTCTGTTTTTCCTCATTACGGTAGGTTTTCGCCCTGCACCCCGATTACAGAACATTTCGGGCTCCCTGGCCCCAAATGATGGGCTGACTCCTATGACATTTCTTTACATTATAGTGCTGCAGTATGCAAGTCAAAAAAGGTTAGCCTAACAATCAAAAGAACAGTTATTACCATATATAACTGATCTATGATATGTTAGGTTCATGAAACTGATTGGCAACTCGTTTTAGAGGTCATTTAAGGTCATTTTCTCTAAATGAACACATGTAATGAGGAGTTTAAATTACCAAAATACATGTAGGTCACATGCTTAATTCGTTTGCTGATTAGCTTAAATATGCAAATTACGGCTACAAAATATAGGGTCTGCATAAACTTGAAAACTAATAATCACAAAACGCATGCTTTCTCTTTCTCCAAGTACTCAGAATATTCACGTTTCTCTTTACTGTGACCATAAATGCTACAACTGACCTTTGACCCATATTCACGGAATTTGCATATCCTTATGGCAATAGTCGTGGAAGCTTTATTTAGGCATATACTTCAATTTACAAATACTGTACCCCTTTAAAGTACCTGTTCGTATGCACACTAGTTTAATTATGCAAATTAGCTGTAAAAAAATATAGGGGCTTTATATTTTGGCAACTATCCTGGTCGCAGAGGGTTACTTTTTTCAAAATATTCAGAATCTACATGTTTCTATTTGCTCTAATGAAATATTTTGCCCAAACATTACTACAACTGACCTTTGGCTCCATATTCACAGAATTTGCATATCCCTATGACTAATAGCATCCATTGATCTAGAGTATTAATATATTTTTCTATATTAAAACAATTATTAAAAAGTTAAATATATTTTTAAAAAATACATTTTCTATTTCTACAGCATTTACCCTGTGTTCCACTGGTGCGTGCATGAATGGCGGCACGTGTTTGCAAAGCTCTAGCGCAGCCAACATTTTCTGCTTGTGCACACCAGGTTATGAGGGAGACAGATGTCAAACCATAGGTAAACATATATATATTAAAACATTCTAATTAAATCTTGACTCATGAAAATACTCTTCCCATTGCATGAATAAACATTCACTATTTGTATATTAACCCACCCATGTTTACTTTCTCCATATCTTTCCTTATCAAAATCTCGTAGGTTAAGCATTCTTTTACATAGATAATGTTAAAGACAAAATAAAAATCAAATTAAAGCAAAATATGATAATTGCACTGTCATTTGTAGGCTAATAATTTTTCATTTGACATTCCAATAGTAACACCACTGGTTTACTATTAGAGTAGTGGGTCATTAATAAAGATGAACTTTAAAGGTGGGTCACTGTTCAAACATGGGTCACTAAGAGTAGTGGGTTTCTATTAGTAGTTATACGGTATAATTATTTTATTACTCAAGATCCATTTTTTGTGGTAATGTTGATACTAGTCACTATTTAATTCCCAAGATGTTATCAACATTTTGGAAAAGAAACCTAGTAAAAATGTACAGTAACCAGTTTATAGTATAATTATAGTTTGTAAAATTTAGAAAAGAAGTGTGATTCAGGAAGTAGCACCATCTTGATGTTATAAATATACGTATCTATGGTCAACAGTGACATATGTTTTGAATTTGTCAATCTTGATCCTTTCTTTACTCCCATACACACAACACACTCATGTATTTCTTATGTTTCTCCCTATGTGTAGTGAATGTATGTTCATCTGATCCATGTCAAAATGGTGGAACATGTCTTCGAAGCTCCGTCAGTAATTCTTATACATGTATTTGCCTAACCACCTATACTGGAACAAATTGTGAAACAGGTTAGTACAGACGAGGTTTACATTATTTCAACTTCGGGATCGTGCTGGAGGGTGGGGTGAGGTGGTGGTCAAGAGAGTCTATGTGAATATAAATGTATGTTATAAAACCACTCATAAAATACAACTTAGATAACGCGGAGTTTCCATAAAATCGCTACAAGCTATTGCCGACAGCATTTGGTTGGTTGGTCGATCGAATCAGTATAGCCTTCCAGATTATGTAAAGCCCACATACTCAGCGTAACAATTGCAATAAAAGCTGGCTCAAGCTTTGGCGTTATGGTTAGGAATTGGAGCTAAACACCCTTCATTCTGGAGTCCTGGGTTAAAATGTTGTCTGAACTCCAGAATTTTAGCTCACGACAAAAAACCACTTCACCCATAAGCATCTTGTGTGTCGGGCATCTTGTGTGTATATTTGTCTTGTAAAAGACACCCTAGTGGGACAGTGATTATCTGTTGGAACATGGTTCATGTATTTAAATGAATACATTTTAAAAAATAAAAAATAATTTATGTACCACATTTTTACAGTGGTGATCGACAGCAATCCTTGTTTCACTAGTCCGTGTGAGAATGGTGGGACGTGTTACCAGGGATCTACATCAAGTACATATGTTTGCACATAGCTTGTTGGTTATTCAGGAACAAATTGTGACGGCTAGATTCTCATATATACGTATTTTTCATATAGCAATTGGATAAATCGTATGCAATAGGCTTATTTGTTTTAATAGTAAGTTGTACTGATCAATCAAAGATGATCTTCGTCCCATTTATTGTCTTTTCATCAGAAGCGTAAATAAACCAAACTTGACCCCTGTATACCAGTTCCACTGTATCACGATCTTAAAACATATTATTCCAATGTTATATCGTATTCAGCATCAGCATCATTGTTCATCGATACACCATAGTACCGTCACTTATCAATTTACTGTAATCTTTTTCGAATTAATTTTTAAAGGCATATATGCTCGATAAAGCCATGGTTGAACAAAGTGTTGTGCCTTCAAGTTTCAACGGCAACCTGCAGTTTTTGCGCAGCAGGCTATTCAGGAAACAAATGGACAGATGCATGCATGATATACGTTTGTGTCCGTCTCGTTTTATGTGACATCTGTGTGTTAACGTGGTAACATTGGTTTAGTCAAGAGATTCGGTAGCGAGTGCATCTTATTGCCATTTTTAAAAAGCTGCATAACTAACATGATGGAAAGAATTATTTTAACATAAAAAAAAATCAATTCTATATAATAGGATGGGGTAGAAAAAATATCCTTGATGACCTAATTTGACATCTTAGAAGCTCAATTTTGAACACATTTGTAATTGTTTTTCTCAGTCCCGCACCAGGGCTTTGGAAACCACCAATTTAGTAGTATTTGAGTCGGGCATACGCAGAAGTTTGGCAGCGCCGGTGGGGGGGGGGGGGGGGTTGCGTACAGTAGGTACTGTAAGTAGCGTACCGCTCCGTCTGAACAGGTTTCGTAAACGAGAAAATTCGTAATTCCGAGAGTTCGACTTTTTAGCATCTCAGTGTGGTGAGAGTAGCCCTAGGCCAGTGCTACAAAGTATAGGGCTATAGATAGATAGGCCCTAATACGCCTTGCCATGGGAGAAACATTTGTCAGGAATAATACTTGGATTTTACTGTTTTCAAAATTACCTGTACTCACTGGAAGTATTCATAGGAAGTGATTTCCCAATGAAAACATGACCACATATCTACGGGCAGTGCAGCCAGTGCAAAGCACTGGGGCCCAGGGCGATTAGGACCTCTTTAATCAATAGGCCTAAAATTAATAATTAAAAATAATTTAATATTCTGAAAAAAAAGCGGCCAGTGGGCTTCGCAATAATATTTAGGGTTTTAGAAGTGTAATTATTAATGGTGTTAATTTTCAATCCAGTGGCAGATTCAAAGGATTGGGCCCCTAATGTTTGTTTTTTTTTTAAATTATGAAACAAAATGGGAAAAGGATAATATTATATTAAAATTTAAGTCTGAGAGTGCCACCTACACTAATAATAATAATAACTTTCTCCCCTCAGCCTTAGCCATGGTGAGGTTAAGGTGTCAGACGCGGATCCAGCGAGTGTGGGGGAGATGAGGGCACGTGGCGCCCCCCCCCCCCGTGGGTCAAGCCGAGAAATAAGAGGGAGAAAAATTTGAATTAAAGAGAGGAAAGGGGAAAAAGGAAGGGCACCCGTGAGTTCGATTGTTTGTCACTTATTTACACCAACCATGGTGGGGCGGAGGTGGGCAAGGCGGTGTGGACTTCATATTGTGCCCCACCCCCCTTCAGAAAATCTCTGGATCCTCCCCTGTCTACATACTCTCCACCTGTGACTATCCTATTAGTAGTAGCCTATTAATGGATTAAGACCTATTAGAATTGGCAATTAGAGGTAGGGGTAGGCCTAACACTAGTGGCAGATTCAAGAAGGGACCAAGCCAACCTCCCCATAAATTTTCAAAATTATTTTTTTAAAATGGAGGAAAAGCCCCAAATATGGTGGGGCTGTGGTGGTCTACACCTACCCGTCTACACTCCATCTATAAAATTCCCCCTTGTTCCCCCTCTATTTCAAATTCCTGGATCCGCCACTGAAAACGACGCACTTCTTACGATGGATTTTCTGAAAACGTGAATCAGTACACCTAGTTTTAGAATTTTAATAATTTAAGAGGAAATTCATAATCACAGCCACCCATTATTTCTGAAGATTTTTTAATATTTTAAGGGGTTTTTGTAGTTAAAAACGATCGTTCATAATGACGTCATCGCCGCAAATTCGGTTGGTAAAATCGAGAGTTCGTAAATGAGAGGTTCGTATTTGGGAGATGTTAATATACTTAGATCTGAGGAGGGCGCCAACACTCCAATATCGTTGTAACTGGCTTACCGTACTCGCGCGAATAAGCGCCCCGTTTGAATAAAGGCCCTCTCGAATAACCGCCCCTCCTAACGTGAAAATTTCCTTAAGCGCCCCCTTTGAATAAGCGCCCCCAACATAAGATTTTCTTTTTAGCAGTCAATAATCCAATCAATCCTGGGACTGTAGTTGTTGGCATGATTTGAACTGTAGAGTGGAAACACATTCTTCTTCGGTCAATATCAAATTCAGAATATTTCTCTTGGACAGATGAGAGCTCCGATCCCTGGACAGACAGTATATTTAAACTTTACTCTTTTTACATATTTGTCTATACCTAGTCCTACTCCTCTTTTTTCCCCGACCTTTAGCACATTCTCATCTGAGTTTTCAAGAAAAAATACAATGATCCTGCCATCCTGCTAATCTCAATCGGCCGATGGCTAACAAGCTAACCACTACCCACCACCACTAATTGCATTTGCTATTTTGCTGTTATGTAAATATTCACACATTCTTGTCATGAGCCATGTTCTCTGGACGATTATCTTTTCTGACCACCATTCGTAATGTCCTTATATAATCTTTTTTTCATTCACAAAGTGCCTCTTGAATTTAATAATTTCCCATAAGAACCCCTCGATTTCCACTCTGTTTTCATAAGCGCCCCGTTTAAATAAGCACCCAGTTTGAATAAGCGCCCCTCAGAAAGTGCAAAAAATATTTTAAGCGCCCGGGTGCTTATTCGCGCGAGTACGGTACTGTATATAACTGGCAATTTGTGCAAAAAGAGAATGAATACCGGTAGCCGCGTTTCAGTGGCCCATTCTTGAGTGTACAAAAACTGAGTAATCAGAGCACCTGTGTCTTCCCAAAAACGCGCATGCTATTACCACTGTTCATATTATCATGGTATAAAATTTATACCTTCATGCTATTATAATAGCTGGATTGCTCATCTGCCAATCATTGTACAGAAAAAAATTAAGCCACCGGCGCTATGTTGAGGAGCCTAAGTGACGTACCAATTTAGACAAGTTTCTTTAAAATTAAAATTTTTTTTTCATATAATCTAACCATTCAAACGCGCATGTTTATGCAGTTGGTGCCCATACCGCCGGTTCATGTTTACGCTGTGATGACGTATCTGTGACGTTTTAGGCTTTAAACACGGCGCGGTCACTAAAACCAGCCAGTGAGCAATCTGGCTAAATCTACAGTAATGTTGTGTTGTAGTCACTTATATTATAGGCCACTTAATAAAGAATGGTCTCTCGTAATTAATATTTGCTTACTTCTGCAGTATCAAATAGTAGTGATGCAAAATCCATGTAATCCTAGCCCGTGTGAGAACGGAGGAACGTGCCTACAGAGTAGTGTGGTGATGTCAAATTCGTTTTTCTGCAGCTGTGCGGCTGGCACATCAGGAACAATAATGAACAAAATAATAGATAGGTCTATAACAATAGATCAAGGCTTCCCATAGTGTAGGTCCCTTAAACATGTTGGCAATATTTTTCAGTGGGTTGTTGCGGAAATGTCCCTGCATAATTATTTTGTCACTGGATGAATGAAAAAAATCGAGCTCTTTAATATCAATTAATAAACTATAGTTAATGGTTACTATACTACAATACTTGTTCGGTTCTGTTTCTGTCAGTTTACTCATGGAGGTCCATCGTTTACTTAAGCTGGTTTTCCACTAGGCGAATTTAATCTCGCGAATTAAAGCGTCGGTTCTCTTCCTGAGTTCTAATTGTTTGCGCATTTTTTCGCTAGCAAAAACTCCGATAGAAATGCGCATGCGCATGAGGCGACGCTTTCCATTTGCGCGAATAAGTTAGCCAAGTGGAAAAAAGGCTTTACGTTTGCAATTAGCTCTTTTGCTTATTAAATTTGTTCTCTGGACGATTATCTTTTCTGACCACCATTCGTAATGTCCTTATATAATCTTTTTTTCATTCACAAAGTGCCTCTTGAATTTAATAATTTCCCATAAGAACCTCTCGATTTCCACTCTGTTTTCATAAGCGCCCCGTTTAAATAAGCACCCAGTTTGAATAAGCGCCCCTCAGAAAGTGCAAAAAATATTTTAAGCGCCCGGGTGCTTATTCGTGCGAGTACGGTATTGTATATAACTAGCAATTTGTGCAAAAAGAGAATTAGCTACCAGCCACTAACTGATTGACTGACTGCATGGCTGACTGATTGACTGACTGATTGATTATTTGATTGATTGATTGATTTACTCTGTGGTTGATATTGTTATTGTTTGATTTTCTGATCAACCGTTTGATTGATTCTAAAGTTCAAAGTTTAGTTTAATTGCATTGTAATTCCTTCTTAGGTCAATAATGTACTATAATGTCAAGAATCTATGTCATCGTTTTAAGTAATATGATGTGCACCAAAAACCCCTATTAAGAAGACAATTTTGATGTTTTTGGTCAGTGTCCCCTAAGTAGGTTTACTGTACTTCTATACAGGGAACACCCCTAAGGAGACTTTTTCCGTCCTGTCCCCTAAATAAAATAATATATGATATGGGTTCTACTGTAATCAGAATCAATTAGAATGGTATGAAATATATATTAATGAGACCTTAACTTAGGCTAGTTAACGTAATTATAAACTACGGTATATTATTGATTCTTAATTTTTTATGATCCTGTTTTAACAGCGTCTTGCTTACCGAATCCATGCCTCAACGGAGGAACATGTTTTCTAAGTCAAAGTGGATCTTCATACATGTGCGTGTGCCCGGATGGATTTGAAGGAATGAGTTGTGAACAAAGTAAGCCGTTTTGAGTAATTTAACCTTCTAAGTAGTATGATGATCTGCATCAAAAACCCCTATTAATAAAGAGGACAATTTTGACGTTAATGAGTATAGAATAGACTAGATAGGTCATCGATTAGACGTTCCCGATTCCCGTAAGAGGAGGGGTGTCTAGTGGAGAGGATCACAACTCCCGTCGAAAAGAAGCCATAATTTTGTCGATTAGCCCTGCTTTGAAAAAGCATTTTATCGTCTGAGAGTGGCATTTCCGAGGTAGAGGGCCTTTCTTAAAATTTGATCACCTCAGCCCCAACCATGGCGGGGCTGAGGTAGGTGTGGACTTTCTATTGTTCCCCTAGCCCCCGCAGAAAATGTCCGGATCCGCCCCCGCGTTTTTGATTAGTGTCCCCTAAGTAGGTGTACTCTCCTCCAATACTCCTATACAGGGAACATCCCTAAGGAGACTTTTTCCTGTCCCCTAAATAAAAAAAATATATGGTATGGTTTCTACTGTAATCAGAATCAATTAGTATGGAATGAAATATATATTAAGGCGACCTTAACTAGTCTATCAAATTTCATCAAAAAAGCGTCACATAAAATGTGATGAAACATAGAGTTGAACACGTTCAAATTTTTTTATACAATTTAATAATATGTGATATGACATCATCGTACCCATATATGGGCACATCACATTTTTTTTTTGTCAAATAAAATTTTGATAGTGTAGACAAAGCTTTACATCCACTGCCTCCTATTATTAGGGCTACAAAGGCTGGCTTCTAATATTTATATCATATAAGTCTATCATCGCTTGTGCTTTTCCGATGAGAGTCTGTTTCCGATTTTTTCCTGACTCAAATAAAGCTGGCATAGAAGTAAATAGAAAGAAAATAATAGTATAGGAATGAGGTACTTATGCAATATGTAAATTATCTTTTGTTTGTTGTAGATTAGGTGTCTGATGTACCGTAATAGTATTAACTTTGATATGTGCTTCTGAATATATTGATTTACTCTAGGTAGAATACTGAGCATAATATTGATTAGTTATATATTCTACCGGTATTGTTTTATTTGTGTTTATATTGAAATATTTGTTTTTATTATAAGGATGAACCGTTCCCACTTAACGTGTGCCGCCGATCTGATGATGTATAAATGAATAAATAAATAGAATATTGAAAACTATTTAGTCAACAAATTTAATGCCGGAGCAGAAATAAGCAATGCGAATGATGAAGAGAAATTAATAGAATAAAATAAATGACAGTTATATTTTTTTACGTGTTTGTTTCATTTACAGAGGACTATTGTCTACCCAGTCCTTGTGAAAATGGAGGAACCTGTAGTAATAGGCAGTATGTCCTTGACTGGAAGTGTGATTGCCCACTCCCATATACTGGAAAGAACTGTACTGATACAGTCAACTGTAAGTTTTGTGAAAACGTTCCAACTAAACGGAGAACTTTCTTATCGTATTAATTTCTCTTTATTTTCATCATTTAAGTTTTTGTTCTAAGGTCTTCAGTGCCCCACTGGCAAAGTTTATACTTCTAATCCTTGTAAAACACTACGGTTGTGCCTCTGTTATAAAAGAGAAGCAATAAAGTTACTTACTTAGCGGCTTACTTTATCCTTGCCATTTATCCCTGCAGTAAACAGTTTGTATTTTACTTCCCTTTAAATCTATTAAGGTTATTAAAAACATATCGTCTATCCAATGACTTGTAAGTGCCCTTGTTCTATACATAGCATTGTATGGCCACTATAATGCACTATTTTCACCGAACGTGTAAGTCTACGTATAAATCATTTTAAATAAAGGATTTTCGTCAATGATTTTAGTGAAGCCTTGCCTGTCGACTCCTTGTATGAACGGTGGTGAGTGTACTGTAGATGATGCTAATATAATTGTCTGCAATTGTCCCGACAATTACCAAGGAGATCGCTGTGAGATTTTCAGTAAGTAAAGTCGTATCTTCCTGTTCATTAATTATTTTTTAATAATTGTAAATTATATAGTATTATTATGACAATAACAATAACAACTAGACTTTCTATGTCTGTCTGTACAACAGAACATAGGGCTTTTCCCCATTGCTTTATTGAGAAATGAAGTTGAAATTGCAACAAAAAAGAAGTCGTTATAAATGATGATAATGATGATAATAATAATAATAATAATAATAATAATAATAATAATAAATAATAATAATAAATAATGATAATAATAATAGCAATAGCAATATAAATAGCAATAGTAATAACAATAATAATAATAATAATAATAATAATAATTATTATTATTATTATTATTATTATTATTATTATTATTATTATTAATGGCTTCCTAGCAGTAGTTAGAAAAGCCATTGTTTTTGTTTTTCCCTATCTTTTTGCACTGTTTTTTCTGGCCGGTACTTGGGTCACTTCCCAGGCTTAGAACTTTCCAATGCTTTGCCGAAACATAGACCATATCAAGCATGTACCTCCTAATATTTAGTGTCAATCTATGGTGGGGTGTTCGTGTGATTACCATTTAAAGTGATTTAAGGGCAAACAGTCTACACCGGATATTTCAAAAACGGGTCAATTGATCTGATTGATTACTGTTGCTATTGCTATTATTATCATTATTATTAATATTATTATTATCATTTTTAACGACTTTGCTTTTTTGTCGCAATTTTAACTTCATTTCTCATGAAAGCAATGGGGAAACGCCCTATGTTCTATTGTACAAACAGACATAGTAAGGCTAGCTATTATTATTATTATTATTACTATTATTATTATTATTATTATTATTATTATTATAACAATAGTATTGATAATAATAATAATTATTATTATTATTATTTTTATTATTATTATCATTATTTAAAAAATTATTAGTTCCGTTACATTTAATATTTATCATCATCACTGTCACCATCATCATTATCATATTATTATCGTTTTTATTGTTATTATTATTATTATTATTATTATTATTATTATAACAATAATATTAATAATAATAATTATTATTATTATTATTTTTATTATTATTATTATCATTATTATTATTTAAAAAAATATTAGTTCCGTTACATTTAATGTTTATCATCATCACTGTCACCATCATCATTATCATATTATTATCGTTTTTATTGTTGACGATGATTACTTTCAGACGACCCATGTGATTGTTCGCCCTGTCAGAATGGTGGAACTTGCAAGTCTAACTCCACTGGAGTCTACACCTGCGAATGCCCAGATGATTATCTTGGTCGCACATGTCAAAACTATCGACCAGGTAGATTATTTCAATTTGTGTTCATATTATAATAGTAACAAAGCTCTTAACCGTTTTGAAATAAACAGAACAAGTGGTTGTCGTTGGCTATCAGAGTAGTTAGTTAGTAGACAAGCTTCAACTGTACAAAACAAAAATATGACCCTAGAATAAAAAAAGGCAATATTAGGTCTAATATAATTTAACCATTTATTTAATTACATTTGTTATGCAAATACAATGCAATAAAAAGGAAAGAAAACGTAGCAACTCTGTCTTTCCAAATATTAGCTTACCTTACATTTCACTTTCACGTTTCCTGTTTTTGTTTCCATATCTTACATTTCCTCTTCCTACATTCTGCTATTTTGATATTAACTTACCGAATATTTACCTATCTTCTCTTTCACTTTCCTTTCTGTGCTTCATTATTCCTTAATTCATACCTACCTACCTACACCTACCTACCAACCTACCGTACCTTTTCTTTATTTCGTCTTACTTTTTCCTTATAATTTTTTCTTTCTTCCCGCTTTATTTCTTTAGCTTTTGATTACTATTGTAATGTTGCCTTATCTTTTCTTCCTTTTCTTTTGTTTCTTATGTTTCCTTGATATTTCATTTACTTTATTACTTTTCTGTCCTTTTGCTTACTTATGCTTTTTCATATATATATATATATATATATATATATACTCATATATATAATTTTTATCTTATCTTTCGTATTTTAGTTCTTTCTTTCTTGTCCCATTTTTGTACAACCTCTTGGGTTGCCTTGACTATTCTTTCCTTTTCTTTCTTATGTTTCGTTCTTTTCTTAATATATATATTATTTTTATTTCTATTATTATTATTATTGTTATTATTATTTCTATTACTATAGGATTTTATTATATAGGCCTAGTGACGCTGAAATCATTTAATGTATTATTCTGAAGATAATAAGCGTTGTTTATATCTGTCAAGGAATTATTTATGACTTATAATTGACACGTTTTCATTTAAAAAGATCCTTGTTCAGAAAATCTTTGTGGAAGTGGCACATGTGTACCTACTGGTGATGGATCTACGTACGCGTGTACTTGTGCGCCCGGATTCACTGGGGATAACTGCGGGGATTATGGTAGGTGACCAATAGACATTTCCGCTAACCTCCGCCCCTTGGATATTTGTTGCAAAGGTCCCACACAAGACGGAAGTGTTAAAACATACGCGAACACGTGCGTTTGTGGGGCAACATGTGTGTTTTTAAGACGCGCGCGCATTCCTAGCGCTGTTCTGATTGGTCAGTTGTTAAGTTTAATTGACACTCCGGAAAGGTCTATTAATTTAATGATCAAAACTTGAAATAAGATTGCTACGAACATATAAAATCCCTCTCTTGTTTTCTTGAGCTAGTTTCTACGATACTTTACTTTTTATGCCTAAGATGCTACTTTGGATGGATATATATATATATATATATATAT